TATCTGATCTAACAAACTTAGAAAAAATAGCTGCAGGAAAAAAAAATATCAAACAAAAGCAAACTTAAATTTAGTTCACTAAAACATGTTTCAACAGTCTTTTCATTAAGACTTATCAAAACTTGATCACTACATATATAATATAGTATGGTGTATGACAACCTTCTTACCATCAGAATCTATGATCCCATCATGAATAAGAGGGGGTATGTGGTAAACCGAGGCAAAGACTGCAGCTGATGCAGGCCACAGTATTGCTCCCTTGATTCCTAATTTCTTCCCAACATTCAAAGCGCAACTCATGCCCAAATCTGCAACAATGAAGCTGATTTTGTCCTCACCTTTCAAATGAACATCCTCTATGAACTTCTCAAGTGCTTCTGGCATGAAGTTTTGCATAGAGGCACACAGTTTGCCCAAATCTTTTCTGTCTTCATCAGATTCTAACCCATCAGGGATTGACACCAACTTCAGCCCTGATTCTTCATTAAGGTTGCTACTATTTTCTTGCTCTGCGATGGAACTCACCACTCTCTTGTGGTCGAATTCAGAGTTCACGAACAGCACTTTGCATCCATTCTCAACCAACTTCTGTGAGAGGATGATCAAGGGATTCACGTGTCCTTGTGCTGGAAAAGGTAACACTAGCACAGTTGGAATGTTGCTCATGTTCTTGTCAGGTTTATTCAGGTGGTTTATATTCTATAGAACTGATACATGGACATCTACACAGAAAACATCCATTTATATGTTTGTTATCATTGTATTATTAATTGAAGTTGTTCGTTGAATGTTGGTTAGAAAGTTAGTTGGTAACAAATCTTTTTCCAATTTTTTATATCCTAAATAAAACTCACACTCCATGTAATTATAAAGTAAATATTTATTTCTTTATGTGTTAATAAAATAATATTTATATTTATAATTTTTTAAATAAAAATATATATTTTTTAGATTTTTAATAATTATTTAAAAATTAAAATTATCTAAGTGTTATTTACTGAAAATATAAGAATTATGAATTTATTTATAATTAAGCAAAGTGTTAGTCAATAAATATAATTTTCTCTAAGTACAATTTGTTTATTAATTTTAATATTTTTAAACTTATAATTAAAAATTTCTTCGATAAGAAAACCCTAGTTCAGATTTTCTCATTGATTTTTGCAAGTGATACTTTTCAAGAATAAGTTTGAGTAAATTATATTATATTTTCAAAACTAGTAATCATACTTTTAAAAATAGTAAAAAAGGGAAAGGGAAATGATACATTGATAATCATATATCTCACTAACAATTATATATATATTAATTAAATATATATATATATATATATATATATATATATTAATTAAATAATAAAATATATTATTATACTAATATTTTTGGTTATCTTTGTTCCCAATCCTCTGAAAACAATTCTTCACCAAGCAGAAGTGCTTTGTCAGATTCCCTGTACCCTGTCGATGATTCCACTAAGGAACTAAGTATAAGAAATAAATGATAGGTTTCTGAGAGCATATGAGTTCCTATAAGATTTTTTTTTCTTATCCTATTTTAAAATATCTTATAATACTGATATTTAAATCATTCATAATTTACTGGTAGGTCTATTTTATAAAAATAACATCTACTTTAATAATTGTTTTATTCATAATTATTTTTGAGTCAAATAAAAACATAACAGCTATTAATTAATAATTAATAATACATAACATGTTTATTAAGAAGAGGCCATTTTACTTATGTTGTTTTGAATTTTTTTTATATCATATTAAAATTCAATATTAATGTAAAAAGATTTTAGAAATTGAAAACAAATTATATACACATTTTTAATACAAACAATTTATGATACAACAGTTCAAAATACAACCAATCATATCTTTCTTGTATAAAAGGTAAAACCTAAACTATTTTAAAATTAAACTACTTAAAAAGCTAAATTACTTACAAACTAAACTACTTAAATATTAAATTATATTATGAAAAATATTTTTTTTACATACATCACATCTATTTTTTTTAGTGAACTTTTTTTTCTCTCCGAACACAATGTTAATGATCTTCATCTCGTATACTTGTTCATCATTGCATGGTGTCAATGCAACTTCATCCTCTTAACATCTCTTAAATTTTTTTTTTCAATTTACAGAATGAATGATTACGAATAAGAAACTTGCAATGTCTAGTGTATGTAGTATTTTGCCCATGTTTTCAATTGAATATACCATTAACACTGCTCAAATTACCATATGTTGAAAATAATTTATTATGCAAAATAATATTGCACACAACTTAAAATTATCTTCACAGTACCCATCATACACCTCTACTATTTTCCATAACATCTTCAAGTCATCAATCAAAGGAAATAGATACACATCTATATAATTTCCTAGTTGTCAGGGTTCTGAAATCATCATAGATAACATAATTATTTTCTCTTCATGCATAGCAAAGGAGGTAGGTTGTAAATGCCCAATAAAACTAGTCATGGACTATATGTATTACTTAAGTTCCCATAAGGATTTATGTTATCTATATCTAGTGAAATTCTCAAGTTTCTTGATCCCGCACCAAATTTTGAAAATGTTTCATCAATCATCTTCTATTATGGAGAATTAGTTGAATCTCAAAGAAGTTTGTTACCTTTTCTACCATTCACATGCCATATCAGGTTTTTTTGCATCCTATTTAATGGTAACCAATCATTTAAACCTAGGTATTATTGGCAAGTACCATAACACCTTAGAAGGTCATTTATTTCTTCCTTATTATTACTTCTATAAGCTTTCTTTTTGAATTGCGACAACTCACATGTTGGACATACCTTTAATATAACAAAATCATTTTTGTACAATATATAATCATTAGGGCATGCATGAATCTTCTTGTACTTCAAACTCATTAAACATAATATCTTCTTCACCACATTCAATAGCTCTAACAATTATGTAAAACTTCTATCTATTTTTTTCTTTTAAACTAAGCAATCTAAAAGTTGTTGATAATCTTGTAAAACTACTACATCTAGGGTACAATTGTAGTTTAAAATTATTAAAGAATCATACACATGTGTTCTTCTAAAATTTTCTTTGTCAATATCACATATCATCTCTTCTAATTATTATCCATCCCTTCTTAATTTTTTATTGTTGTTATATCTAATATTTATCTGTCATGTCCATATTATATAGGGATGGCAAAACGGGTCAGCCCGCCTCACCAAAAGCGGGGCGGGCCAGCTCGCTATAGTCATGGGGACTACAGGTTTCGGCCTGTCCCGCCAAAAGGCGGGCTGGCGGGCTGACCCGTCATATTTCTTATTTTATTTTATTATTTTTAAATCAAATCTTTCAATAACTTTAATAATAAAATTATCATTGTCAATAATTCAATATATATATTTCAAGTTAATAATATAAATTGAGTAAGAGGATGAGTAAGAAGGAGATGATGAGTAAGAAAAAATGATGAACAAGAAAGAAATAATAAGTAAGAGGAGAGGAGAGAAAGACAAGGACTTGTGCTTGAGAAAGGAAAGTGTTTTCCGTAATGTGAGTTTAAGTAATTATAAAAATTTTTGAATTCTCTTAGTAATGAGATATTGAGACTTTATAAATTCTCTTTATGAAACACTGAAACTTTTACAATTCTCTTTTCATAAATCTTTATATTATATATTGTCTTTTCGACTCTTTATATTTTATCACAATAAAAAAAAATTATTAGTAAAGTGGGTCGCGGGCTAGTCCGGTTTGCCCCATCCCACGAGGTTGGCCCGACGGGTTGGCGAGACGGGCTAAAAGTACTAATCTGGCTCGCCGGACCGACCCGTTTTGTCATCTCTAATATTGTATAACTTACTATAAGAAAATCATTAATTATTGATAGATATATACCGATGGATATTTACCGATGAATATATAATCGTCAGACGGACATTTCCAACAAATTTAAAATATTTGTAGAATTTAGTTTTACTGATATATCCATCCATAAATAAATAATTAATTACTAATAAATATTTTTATCAATAAATTAATAATTAATTATCGATAAATATATAATAATGAATGATTAGGAAGAAAAATGATCGATAATTAAAATATGTGTGAAATTTGTTTTTACTAATAGATATATTTATCAAAATAACTAATTACCGATAATAATAATAATATATCCGACTAAAATATAAAATGTGCAACACTTTTCAAAATCCGGATAGATGTCGCTCTCTGCTGAATTTTTAAATTCTCCAAGCAGACGTTGGAAGTCTTCGCTGGTGGCACCCACTTCAGCGGCCTTGCGTAGGTAGAGATATAGACATAACCAGTTAAAAATCCGCACCTACTGCCGCACGATTTCCTTTGCTCTTCTCTTTCTGGCGAAGGTTAGGGTTTCTTTCCACCTTCAATTTCTCCCTTCGTTTTGTCTTTGACTTGCTATTTTTCCCTTTCGAGTGTCCTAACTTTGTGTATCCTCTGATTTCAGTTATTCTCTGAAGTAATTGCTAAGTTCGCTGCAATTCCTCACTTTGTGGCGAGGGCCGAAGACACGCTTTCGGAGTGGGAGAGAGTGTACCTCCCTATCAACCCCGGCGTCGTGCTTCTTGACATCGCTTTTGTCCCCGACGACCCCAACCACGGTACTGTAAATTCGTAATCTCCTCTCGTTTCGCCTTAGTTGCGGTTGTTTTGGTTTGAATCGGAGTTAAATGAATGAACGGTGTTCGCATTTAAGGTTTTCTCCTCGGGACGAGACAAACAATTCTGGACACGAAGGATGGAGGAAACACTTGGGCTCCGCGTTCCATTCCCTCTGTCGAAGACGAAGATTTCAACTATCGCTTCAATTCTATCAGTTTCAAAGGGAAGGAAGGGTGGATAGTTGGAAAACCTACGATTCTGTTGTACACTGCTGATGCTGGAGAAAGCTGGGAGAAGATACTTTAAAGATCGAGCGCTTACCACTAGGCCTTCGTCACAGGACAATTGATGCTACCTGCAACAGATATATCGCTCAGTGCTGAACTTCCAGGGGATATGGTTGGTTAATGGTTATGCATTGTTATTTATTCTAATAATAATTTTTGTGTAAATTGTAGTAAAATTTAATGTGATGGGTTGCAGGTGTACATAAAGGCGACCGGTGAGAAGAGTGCAGAGATGGTGACTGACGAAGGTGTAATATATATTACTGCTAACAGAGGTTACAACTGGAGGGCTGCTGTTCAGGAAACTGTGTCAGCTACTCTTAACAGGTGAGTTTCCAATTATGCACCAAGTTCTATGTATGCGTGGAACTGTCATGGATATGGTGTAGTGTAGTAAGTGTTAGTAAAATTGGAATGTTTTGAGTTTTGCTTGAAAAGTTTGACTGCAGGGTGACATTTTTTTTTCTTTTGACTGATGTTTTTTTTTTCAGATCAATGGTTTTTAAGGTTGGGCTCAATGGTTTGACTTTCTAACTGAAATATGTAATATTGCAGGTTGCTTCAATTGAAAATTTGTAGCATATTACATATCCATGCTTAGCATTCATTGCTGTGGAGAGAGAGGTATGGGATCAAATGGACTCCTTGCTGTTGTGATAAAAAAAAATGTGAGGAGGTATAGAATCAAACTTTACTACTGTAAAGAGAGCTATATTATATGAATGTAAAATTGTAATTGCTACGTTATTATTACATTCAAATTCAATTTTATGATGCATGTGTTTTACTTGCAGAAGCACTTGAATATATATCATTAGCTATTTAATTCAATAAGCTTATTTGCATTTAGATGCTTACTCTGAAAACCACTTATAAATTTACATGATGAGGTCTATTTGCTGAGAGGGAGGTGAAAAAAAAGTCTCGTGCGTAAGCTTAAAAAAATCAATTCATATAATATTAATAACAAACCAACCACGCAACCAAATCAATCAGAACTATAGTTAAGCATGTATATTATTATTATTATTATTGTTGTCGAAGAAGATGGTTAGACCATATAAAAGTTAAAATCTCTTTTCAAGTTTAAAATTTTTTAATGCCTATTAAAAACAATTCAGTTTTGTTAAAAGCTAATAAAGTGTATTTATAAAATAAAATATTTTATTCAATTAATTTAATTTATATAAAATTATTTTAAAACGAAAAAATAAATAAATACTAAATACTAACTTTTAAAAATAAACGTGTTATTTTTTTGACGGATATATTCATCGGTAATTATGTATAACATTTTCTAACGGATATATTGATCAATTTTTTATTTGCAATATTTTTTTATAGATATATTTATCGGTAATTATCTATAACACTTTTTAATGGATATATCTATCGGTAATTACTTATAACACTTTTTTACAACTATTTTAATCGATTAAATTGTGTTTGCATAAGTTAAAATAAATCTGAAAAATTATGAAACACATCTTAACCGATTAAAAAACGTTTTAATCGATTAAATCCGTTAGGATCAAGAATTAATAATCGATTAAAAGAAGTTTGAACCGATTAATTAAACCAGCTTAATTAGAAAAAGTCTCTATATAAATAAATTTGCTTCAACATTTTAAAATATACCTTTGAGATATCAAACAATCAATAAAGATTTTTTCAGTGCACTAGTTTTTTGTGAAGTTTTTCAGAGTTCTTTCTTGAGACATTTTTGCATTCTTGCATGTGAAAAAACTCATTCTGCAGAGAAAGAATTGCATCTGCATAATCGGGTTTGGTTGTTTTAGTTTCTTCTCTTTGTTTTTGTTAATTCATATCTATATTGTGTGGGTGTCTGGAAGATTTAGGCACTGGTTTTGCAGTTGGAATTTGGTTGCAGGTTGGTTCAAGGACTGGAACTTGGTTCTTGGTAAAGGTTTGGTTCAAGAACTGAAAATTGTTTCTTGGTGTAGATTGAGCGTTTTGTAATTTTGGTTTGATTCAAAACAGTATCAATCTAGTGGAAATCAACTGAAATTTGGTTGAGAACTGGATGTAGTCATGTAGTTTGGGTGAACCAGTATAATTCTTGTGTTTCTTTTCTAATTCCTTCACACTCTTTAATTCTGCTTGTGTCTTATTCAATTCTGCTTGTATTTCTTGGATCAATTCTTGGTCAGACTTCTTAATCTTTTGAAATAGATAATCTGTATCCATAAAGTGTGAAAAAGTTTTAAAAAATCAATTCACCCCTCTTGATCTTAGCCTACAATTCTAACAGTTCTAGCATCCCAAAAGCAATTGACTAAGTCAAGTCCCCTAGAAAAAACATTAACAGTTTCATGTGAAGACCTGGATGAGGAGGAAGAAAAAGAGATTGAGGAATGTTTGAAAAATTAGATTCATCAAAAGAAATCTCATCAAATGAAGCACCAAAGACAGAAAAGTCATCCATGAATATTTCAATGATTTTTTCAATCAGATATGAAAAGATTGACATCATACAATGTTGAAATGTTGTCGGTGCATTACATAATCCGAATGACATCCTTTTGTATGCATACGTACAAAAAGAATACGTAAAAGTTGTTCATTGCAAAGAGAAATACAAAAATATTAACGAAATTTAATCGTTCCCTAATTCTTTCGTTAGTATTTTGTGTCACCGTTGTCATCATCCCTTGTTGTGCCACGTTTGCCACAATTGTCATCGTCCTCCTCTTTTGTGTATGATTGCTCTTTTTGTTGTGCATCACTGTCAGTTTTAATCATTGTTGCTATTTTGAAGTATTTTTAGAATTTTCACTTTCACATTTGCTTTCCTTGAAGATTTTCCACTACAATACTCATATTTCTAGAATTTCAAATTGTTATCTTATTTAGTGACAGAGTCAACCCAAACGGTTTTTATCAGAATTAAGCAAAACATGATTAGTGTAACATTTTATCTAAAAATGTTAAAATAGTGTAACATTTTATCTAAAAATGTCCTAAAAGATCCAAGAAGTAGGTAAGCTTAAGTTAAAAAATTTGTAATATAAATTGAATCAAACTTATTTTGTCCTTACCGTTTAGGTCATAACTTACACGGATTAAAGTCAAGTTAACTTATAGGCTTATGGACTGACCCATTTTATAAAATAATAATTTTTTTAAATAAATGTAATAATAATAATATTTTTTAAATAAAAGTAATAATAATATTGTTTAAATAAAAATAAAAATAATATTATTTTACTAAAAATATATATGTATTATAAATAAATTTAATAAAAAATTCACTTATTATAAGATAAATACAAGAGAAAGTCTCTAACCTCCACTGATTTGATGATATTAAAATGAATTATTATTTAAAAAGAGTGAATGATAACAATAAAAAAAGTAATTTTTTAACTTTTATTTTGGGATTAATTAGTTCTCTTCTCTTATAATTTATATATTAAATTATTATATTTAAAATAAAAATTAATTTATTAATATAATTTAAAATTTTAAAATATATTTAAATTTTTATTTAAATATTTTTTTAATTATTTATTTTTATATGAACATGTTAATAATTTTTTAGTTTAGAATTTTGTTTTTTCAATCCAAATACAATTTGACCAGATTATTAAAATATAAGAAGTGATAGTAAAACTCAATTTAATATGAATAATTTTTATATTTAAAATGAGTAATACATCAAATATCTTGTTTTAATATATTTAAATAGAATAATATTGTTGAGAAAAAATATGGGCATTTGTTGAATATAACCGGTTTTGCCAAGTATATAGTGATCATATGCCATCTTACATATCATATACATTATCTCCATATATGATTGTTTATGAAAATAATCTTTATTTTTTTTCCCTTATATATGCTTTGCCTGTACACTTCACTTGTACAAGAAACAAAATTTCATTTAACATGTAAATGAGTTATTTGAATATCCATGCCTCAGTCATTTCTTAACTTAAGTTTAAGAGAGTGTTATTGTAGGACACCCCTTTTCGATTCTAGTATGCAACAAAGCTCGGCAAGTAAATTGTGAACAATAGAATTCTTTTTAAGCTAGATATTGGTCATCATTGAAGAAATCTTTATTGTTTTGAATAAACTCTCATGTAAGAATATTAAGCGCTAATCATGGGGCACGATAAAGTATCATAGACCATCATTTAAAGACTGAACAATACCTCCATGAATCATGACAAAATCATCAACAATTTGAAGTTGCACATTAAAGGAATTCAATGACAAAATAAAGAAAACTTGATCACAAAGATCACTGAGATTGAGCAAAAGTACGAGATGGAGATGTAAATTTTCTTAAAAAAGAATGAGGAGGTAGAAAGGCAGCTATGCCTTTTGGCCAGATCCCCAAAATACTACACCTCATTCAAAAACCAGTAACAATCATGATACTAGTCCCTATAGTTCAAAGGTGATACCCGTTATGAAGCAGAATCTAGTCACAAAGCAACCCATGAAGATACTTGTAGAATTAAATCTTGGGAGTCCTTTTACCCCTGAGATACCTGTAGAATCTCTACAATTAGTTTGGAAGACATCTACCATTGAAAGTGTTTGTGGGGTAGTGTGTTAGGAGAAAGCAACACTTTTCTCTACATAATTTTTCCCATGACTCTGAAGAAAGAAAAACTTAAATGGTTCTATGATATACCTGTTATATCAATAGAATCATTTGAAACTTTATCACAAAAGTTTAGAACCAATTTTGTGGTCACTAGACCCTATTGGGTCTTTGAGAAGTTTTATAGAAAGGTTCAATGAAGCCAGTCTCATTGTGTATAACCTATCCTCGAATTTCATCATCCATTTTTTTATTTTTGGACTTTAAAGAGGTTCATTCTTGGATAATTTATGTATAAATTATCTAGAATCTTTGGAGGAACTCAGACCTGAACTTCCAAATTCATACAATTGGAAGAAAACACTGAGATGAGAAAGAAAAGAGAGTTGTAGAAGAAAGAAGACTCTTCTAACAAATATAGTTCGAACAAATGATTTAAATGAGAAGAGAGAAGGTTCATCCCTCTAAACGCAAGTATTAAAACCATCTTATAAGGGACATGCAATCTAGAATTGATCAAATTACCAGAACCATCATCCACACCCCTTGATGCTGACCGAACAAAGCAACGTGCATAGTTATAGAACAATGTTAAAGAAATTGATGTGGATCCTTGTCACGAAAAAGATGAATGTAGGCCCAAGTTTGAGGAGCCTTTGACTAAGTTCAAGCTCAGAAAAGTGTCGATCTAACCACTCATGTGGAAAACGCCATGGACAAGAAATAGTTTGCGCATATGAAGGATGTGCTCCATAAAAATATTAATCTATTTATTTAGAGTGCAACCAACATATCATGTATTGATCCAATTTTATGTGTCATGAACTTTTTCATCTAACATGCCGTCAAATCCATAGAACAAAGAAAACTTAAACTAGGAAAACGAGAGACGTAAAGTAGTAAATCAAGAAGTAGATAAATTGCTGAAAGAAATTTAATTGGAGAAGTAACTTATACCATCTTGCTTAATGTTAGTGAAAAATCTAATGACAAATGGTGCATGTGTCAACTATGTTGACTTGAACAAAGATGCCTTAAAATTTTTTTATCTTTATAGAAATATTGATCGATTAGTAAATAATAGTTTTGGTTATAAAATACCTAATTTTTTTAAAACTTATTTTAAGTATAGTCAAATATTCATATATTTACTAACAAATAAAAAATAACATTTATTATTATAATGACTAATTTTTATTATAAAGTCACTTCTTTTAATTTAAAGAAGGTTCAAACCAAAAACAACATTTATTATTAAAAAGATTAATTTTTATTATAAAGTCATGTTTAAGAAGGTTCGAATTAAAATAATAATAATAAATAAAATATTTAAAAATTTAATAAGTGATATGAATAAAGTATTTAAACATATGACAGGTATATAGTAAAAAATATCCATACGTTCTGATAATTTGTATGTATAGGCACAACTCCTATGGGTGTGGGAATCAAAGTAGTCAATATTTTATGTAAAACAAAAAGAAATGTAGAAAGTTTCTATATTAATTGATTTAGTCTTTATTACGATGCAATAAGAACATCCAATTCGTTATAGTGTTTATTTATTTTTTAAACAAGTGATTATTTTAATAAAATAAATAGATTTTTACTTTTTTTTATGTATATGTCTCATTTTTATTTATTTATTAATATTTGGTAATGAGTTCGAATTGTGTCGAGTGACAAAAAATTAATTTGGTAATGCTCTAAACCTCAAAAAAATATGATAAATAATAAAAATATAATATAAAAGAGGGAGGACCTAATAAAAATATAATATAAAAGAGAGGGGTTTCTAGATAAATAGAGAGGGGTTGGAAATAAATAAAAATTTTCGATTTGAAAGTCGAAACTTTCAACGTCGGTTCTGGAATCGCCGTTGAAGGCCTTCCGAAGCCGAGACCTTTCGAACCGACGTGGAAAGCCTTATTTGTAGTAGTGCGTTTATTTATTTTTTAAACAAGTGATTATTTTAATAGAATAAATATATTTTTATTTTTATTTTTTTATGTATATGTCTCATTTTTATTTATTTATTAATACTTGACCTTGTATAAATATAGGTCTTGTATAAATATAGGTAATTTAAAAATGTGAATAGACCATATTCAAAGTAGTTGATGATACTTTGTCAAGACTCTGTATACTGATTTGCTAATAAATTTCCATGTAGTCTAAACACTTGATAATACTCTTCCAAGACACGTGTTCTGATTTGCTAATAAATTTCCATATAACAAGACACAGGACGTTTAATTCAATGTGTACCATGTTTTAATTGAATAAAAGAATACCACCCCATACTGCCTATTTTAATTTTTTTTATTCAAACGTATTACTATATATTTATATTATGCAAGATAAAATACACTGTTGTTTTAAATAGTTATTTTTAAAAATATTTTTTTATTAACAAAAAAGTACAAATCTATGCAAAAATATTAAGTTTTGTTACCTAACTATATATTAAAAATTATTAAAGCTTTTAATTAAATTTATTGAAATGGTAATATTATTGTAATAATGATTAATTCAAATATAAATATTTTGTAGATATTTAAGCGTGAGATACGATATTAATATCTCTAAATCATTAAGAGATGGTTCTATTATTTATAATATTAATTTAATTTTAGAAATGATTAAAATTGTATGTAATAAATTAGTAATTCTTAATGAAAATTAAATATTTATTAACATTATTATATAAACAAATCAATTATGAATTTAAATTCCCAACTATCTACATGATTACCGTAAAATTTCAATTTGATAATGAGAGGAGTTGAACTATCCTTTACATTTAATAATAATAATAATAATAATAATAATAATAATAATAATAATAATAATTATTATTATTATTATTATTATTATTATTATTATTATTATTATGATGATGATGATGATGATGGTTATTGAAAGAAGCATGTATAAGACTAAATAAAATAATTTTAATAAATATTTTGTTAGTTATTGGACTTAAGTTAAAATAATAATGATTGTAAATTATGGTATTTTAATATTGATGATGGTCCATATCTTAAACATAAATAATGAAAAAAAAGTCTCAATTAAAAAAAATATTAAAAATTACTGTCCTTATCCATTAAAAATGTTTGATTAAAGATTAAAGAGTAATAAATACTTTTCAAAACTCATATTTGTTAGCTCTTGTTTTAATGAAATGAAAATGAAAAAATATAAAAGAAAAAAAAATCTTCCACTTAAGAAATAGACTAGTTCATGGAAATTTGAAATAATTACAAATCTTTCAACTCCACTTATTTGCTACTTGACTCGTCCAAGTCTTAGTCTTTCACTAATTCCTTTCTTAATGTGCTTCCCAGCAACTACACTACCCATCACCATAATAATAAGTCCTCACAACTTCACTCACTTTTCACCACAAACCATGAGTTTCTTCAGTTCCACCACCACCTTAACACTACTCTTCTTCCTTCTGCACTTCTCCATACACCTAAAGGCCTACACCCCAGATGAAATTTTCACCATCAGTTGCGGCACCACCGGAAAATCCTCCGACGGTGAAAGGACGTGGACCGGGGACGCAGACACAAAGTACTTATCTCTCCAAGACGGCACCGTTTCGGACAAGGCAACAACACAGTCTCCTTCCACGAATCAAGTACCCTTCACCACAGCACGCTTGTCTCGTTCCCAATTCAATTACTCCTTCCCCGTCTCCGCAGGCTCCAAATTCATTCGTCTCTTTTTCTACCCTGCCGATTACCCTTCCTTTCCCCGCAACCACGCTTCTTTCACCGTTCAATCCAACCAATTCACGCTCCTCAACGGTTTCAACGCCTCTCTAAACGCCGACGCTGAAAACACCGAAACTATCTTCAGAGAATACGTGATCAACGTCAACGACGGTGACAGGCTTATCCTCAGCTTCACTCCCTCGCAACCAAACTCCTACGCTTTCGTCAACGGAATCGAGGTACTTTCCATGCCAACCGATTTATATTACACCCCAGCCAATGAGACAGGAATTACGTTCTTGGGAAGTAGCACTTTGTACAGTATTGGAACCAGTTTTGCGCTTCAGACAGAGTATAGAATCAAAAGTGGAGGGCAACAAATCCCGCCACAAAACGACACCGGTTTGTTCAGGAAATGGGATGATGAAGAAAGTCATTTTATTAAACAAAATCCAAACAATGATGATCTACCAGGTGACATATATGGGAAGATGAACATAACAGTGAATCCTGATTACGTGGCACCCAAGGAACTGTTCAGAACAGCGCGTAGCATGGGCAGAAACGCCACCCTGAACATAATCAGCAACCTCACTTGGGAGTTTCCCGTTGATTATGGCTTCACTTATGTCCTCAGGCTCCACTTTTGCGAGCTTGATCCCCACATTAATGACTTCGGTGACAGAGTGTTCTCCATTTACATAGCGAGTCAGTTGGCTGAATATCATGCTGACGTAATGTTATGGAGCCAGAAACAAAAAGGTGTCGCTGTGCACAGAAACTACGCCGTTTTGATTCCCAAGAATGATACTAAGAAAAAGTTTAATCTCTCGCTTCAAATGCATCCTCATGGAAGTGGTTGGGTGTCGAAATACGCCGACGCGTTCTTGAATGGTCTCGAGATCTTCAAAATCAGCGAGGCCGGCTCAAACAACCTCGCCGGACCAAACCCGGACCCAGTTCAGACTCCACTCAGCAACATGCCCGTTCAAAACCGAAAGGCCAGCAAAGGAAAGACGTTAGTTGTTGTCGTCGCAGAGGTGCTAATCGGTGTCATTTTTATCTCTGTTGTCATTTTGTTCGTCGTTTTCTTCCGATGCAAGAGAACCACTAAAATGAATCCCAAGGATTACAAATCCAAGTCGTTCACTAGCACACAGAAAGCTTCCTTGCCGTCAAATCTCTGCCGGAGTTTCTCTCTCGTCGAGGTGGAAGCCGCCACCAACAACTTCGACGAGGTCCTCATCGTCGGAGCAGGAGGATTCGGCCACGTGTACAAGGGCTACATCGATGGCGGTTCCATCCCCGTCGCCATCAAGCGTCTCAAACCGGATTCACAGCAGGGTGCGCACGAGTTCTTGAACGAGATCGAGATGCTCTCTCAGCTCCGCCACCTTCATCTCGTGTCCCTAATCGGATACTGCAACGAGAACAACGAGATGATCCTGGTCTACGACTTCATGGCGCGTGGCACCCTACGCGATCATCTCTACCATACTGATAACCCCCCTCTTTCGTGGAAGCAGCGTTTGCAGATATGCATTGGCGCGGCGCGTGGGCTGCATTATCTCCACACAGGCGCGAAGCACACGATCATCCACCGCGACGTGAAAACCACGAACATCTTGTTGGATGAAAAATGGGTGGCGAAGGTTTCTGACTTCGGGCTTTCAAGAATTGGGCCCAGCGGGACGGACAAGGCCCACGTGAGTACCGCAGTGAAGGGAAGCTTTGGGTATCTAGATCCGGAGTACTACAAACGTTATCGCTTGACGGAAAAGTCTGACGTGTACTCATTCGGAGTGGTGTTGTTTGAGATATTGTGTGGTCGACCACCTCTGATACGAACGGCGGAGATGAAACAGGCCTCGCTGTCTACTTGGGTGAGACATTGTGACCAAAATGGGAGCATGGAAGAGATTGTGGACCCCACGTTGAAGAAGAAGATTGCGCCGGAGTGCTTGAAGAGGTTTTGTGAGATTGGGGTGAGTTGTTTGTCGGAAGATGGGACGCAGAGGCCGTCTATGAAGGACTTGGTTGGGTTGCTGGAATTTACGGCGCAGCTACAAGAGAGTGCAGAGCAACGTGAAAGTGAGGAAGGAGAAGAAATTAGCGAGGATATCTTTACCACTGAGGTGAGTGTGACTTCGACTTCGACCAGTGAAGACAATAGCTGTGGGAAGAAGGATAATTATAATACGTCCTTGTCTTGGATTCCTTTCTCGGAGATTATGGATCCCAACCCGCGTTAAGCAAATCCAAGTAACCCAAAAACCAGAAGGATTTTAAAATACTATTCAGGTGTTTAAAATTGTGTTAAGTGTTCAATTATTATCACATGGTAATATTATTAATTTAGAAAATTGTATTTATAGTAAAATAAACTTTTTTTTTCTAATTCTCAAATGAATGTTTTTATGATTTTAATAAATGAGAGTTGTATTCCTTATTTTATTTAAAACTAGTTTGATTATCCATGAATGGTTGTTTTTTAAAAATAATAATTAAATAATATCATATATTGTAAAATTTTATTGAAATTAATTTGTAAAATTTAATTTTCTTTTATTTTGAAAATTTAATGTGTAAATTATTTGTTATGAATAACGAATAAAAATGTCAAAAGTACAAATTAATAATTTCTTTTAATTTTAAGTGGTAATCATGTTTTATTTTTGTTAGAACAGAATATTGATCACATTAAAAATTAAATTTAAATATTAATATTTTTTATTATAAAATACTATGGAAAGGGAGGGAAAATATTATTATTTTTCAAAAAGAAAAGAGAGAGAAAATGTAAAATAATAAATATTATGTAAACTCAAGTTATTAAGAAAAAAAATTGACATTTAAAAATTCCTTAATTTGAAATGTGAAGTGAAATTTAAATTTTAAGAATTTAAATTATCATATTAGAATACTTAAAACACAGAAGGTTTGTTGCAAATGTCAAATATATTCAGGTAAATCAAACATATAATCTGGTAACACTGGGTGCATAAAATAAATAGTATTTTTATGATACAGAACCAGGAATAAGGAGCAGAACAATTACAGTTAAAAAGACTCTAAATCCTAACATCTCAAGAAGCATATTGCTATGCCTTCTTTGCTCAGCAAGCTTGTGAAGTAGATCCAGCCTGAAATGAAAAAGAATCAAAATTCAATTGTTGCGCAGTTATGTACTAACTTTGTTTTTCTTTCTAGAAAGTGAAGTGAGTTTCTTTACCACACAGGCATGAACATCATTACAACCGCACAATAACTTCCCATTGAGAGTGTCCAGAGCTTTAAAGGATCCTCCTCCTTCACTTCTCTACACAATGATCCCCAATTTACAACTACTATTAGCATGAATGAGTCCAAAAGTTTATGCTTCAGCAACAAAAAATAGTAGTAAGAAAGAAAATATGCCAAAGTTCTACCTTGTAATAGTCAACAGCAACATAATTAGCCCATCTGTTGCCAGCACCACCATGACAGGTTTGTAGCATGTTAATGAGACCTTCAGAGTTGTCTTTACATGTGATTGACTTAAGTGGAGCAGAGCGAAAATAGTTTACCAGCACCAATGACTTGCTCTTGTCATCAAGAGGAGATGATTCTGCTCTATGTGGACAGCTTCCTGCTCTCCTTCCACCGTCCCCATCTGATGAATTTAAGATCACCAAAATGAAAATTGACAATATAAGGAAGAATAAATGTAAACCATAACTTACACTACACGATAAAGAATATAAGAGCTTTAGTGATTGGTGTTATCTTACACTGATTTTCAACCATGTAATTCCACTGGTATGCAATGCCTTCACTTTGTTCTTTGGACCTGACAGATGTGAACACTAGCAATCTTTGATTTTTAGCAACCATGTCACTCACCAGAGGCCAGTCTCCTCCTCCCTTTGGCATTCTAGTCACAGGAAACCAAAACTTCATCAAACCAGCCTCCGTGAAGACTTTTGTCAATCCTTTTGGTGTTTTGACATAGTCTTCTAATATGAGTGTGACAATTTCTGCTGGGTTGGCTGATAGAAAAGCTTCAATTTCCTTCAGTGCATCTATAGCCGGTTCCTACTTGTGGATTAAAAAGTTAGGGTCTTTGTCTAGAGGTACTTGTTGGTCATTATAGTGTTTGTAAAGAAACAAGTTAGGCAAAAACGTGGGCCCAAAAGAAACAGAAGTGGGAAGATGATGTTAACGTACAAAAGCTGTGAAGTCATAGCACTGGCCCTGAAATGAATGACACAACCACACCTCTCCATCAAAATCGTATGTATCTAGCATTAGTCCTCTAACTCCATTCTACAAATGGAACGTTGATGGAAGAAAATAGTGACCTTAAACACGCTTGTAAGATACAGCACATCAGAAAAAATAACAGAAGCTAAGCTTAACAATAATGAATGACATACTTTTAGCTGCTGGGTTACACTGTCTTCTTGGTTAGTGATGGTAACTCGACGCACTCCTGTGTGTGATGGTTCTCCATCAATGGCAAATGAGTTGTGCGTTGTCAAAAATGCATATTTGTTGAACGGTAGAGAGTTATTCTAAACAGAAAAAACAGCCAATTAAGAACAGCTTAGGATGAAACACCTCTAAATGCATGATTTAAAGATTCCGAAAATGTTCAAACTAAAGAAATACAACTTCCTGGAAGTTTTTTATATTTTTCTCAAAGAGGCAGTTAATGTTCAGATCATGTAAAATGATGGAACTGGAAGCAGTTTCTGGTCTACCCCACCAGAATCTGAGCCACCCCAAGTATTTCTAAATTTTGACACTTGATGATGGCATGTTAAGAACTTCATATTTAAGAAGTGGGATCTTACTATGAGCTTGAATTGATCTGTGATGGAAGATCTCACACACCTGGAGCCTAAAGACCCAAATGGGCATGAGAAACAATAGAGCCCAGCTCCACAAGCACCATTAGACGAGCACTTATCATTTAGCTGATCAAAGATTCGAAAAGAATATGATAAAAAATTGAAAACGGAGGCATAATTCAACGCAGAGGTGGTAGGGTACACAAACCTTGCAGTTTCTATTAGAGCAAGCAGCATCAACACAAAAACACAACGGAAACATAACAACCAAAAGCATGAACAACCGAAAACCCATTTGTACAATGACGAGTTGGATTAGTGAAAGGAAGTGAGGTGGGTGAACAATTAAAGATAATGACAAAATGGTTTATTTATACTAAAAAAAGGCAATGATGGGTTTTCTGTTTCGGGTGAAAAGGAAAAAGTAACTCATAGTTGAAAGGGAAAGAGGGTATGTTCCATTCACTATAATTGGAAACGAAACCAATGCAAAACAATAGTCGGAGTGCTCGACTAATGAGAGTGTGGAAGGTTTCTTAACTCCTCAATTTTCATACCTACCGCCCAACTACAATGAACAAGAACAACACCGACGGTTTTAGTGTTTTGGATTTTTAATAATTAATTCTCACTTTGGAAGACATAAAATATACGACATGCTGGTAAACTCAGAGCACTTGTTGTTCTAGGTTGGTTGTTGGATACATTTATAAACTCATTGGTTTTGTCAAATATGGTTACTGGTTATGGATGCTGGTATAATTAATATAGTGGACAACTATAAAAAAAATATAAATTTACCCATATCTCAATGTCAAAAAGAAAAAAAGAACATTTTATAATTAAGTATTATGTTATTGTTAATATTAATTCTCATATTTGAGAGATTTTGTCTTTTTAGAATTATTATTATCTTTAAATTAACTTTAATTTCGATTTTTAAGAATTATAGTGATGATTGAAACAACATATATTAAAATTTAACTTGTATTAAAGATACTTGTATAAACTTAAACAACAATCATTTTCATATCACCAATTCAAAATTTATGGATTATCAATACGTGTACGGACAAAAACAAAAAGTGGATGAACATAACTAAAAGACAAAGTGTATTATTTCCATTCGTCGTCTTCCACGAAACAAAAATATATAATTGAACTACAATGATTAGTCACACAAAATGAAGGATTCGTATAAGAAATCTTGGATGGCATATTCTTTAGATTTTGTAATCCTTCATAATTAGCAAGTTTTTTTTTTGTAGTACATACTCTTCTTTTTCCTTTCTCTAATAATAATATGAAATTAAGTACCGAGAGTTTAGTATGAAATGCTTTGGTTATCAGTTATGATGATTCTATTAAATGTATTTATAAGACGTAATTAAAAAAAAAACAACAAAGAAATTATGAAGATATAAGGTAGGATTTTATGTAGTTTTTATTTTGTTAATAGATATAAAGTATTTTAATAATATTAGGACAAATTGAAGTGTTTGTTGATCTTTTACAAATATATCATGCATGCGTATAGGATTCATCCTATTTCTATGGTGCCCAAGTTTATAGCTTACTCCCACCAATGAAAATCGCTTCAAAATTAGAAACAAGTTTTAATCTTATTTTTATCCCTCTAATTTTTATTTTTGGATAATTTTCTTGTTCATTTCAGAATGTAAAATATATATTTTAATATTCTAAAATAAATAAGAGATGGATCAACTTTATGTTCCGATTCTGAAAAGTTCATTCTAAAATAATAAATTTTTTATAAAACTAATAAAATATAAGAAAAAAATCCTTAGAAAAAGCATCACATGTGGCCACGATACATAACATTTGTATATACTTCTTTTGAATAAATAATTAACATTTTATACGAAAATATTACGTGACATGCACTTAACACATTAATTGTGGTAAAATAATGAAATTGGGTATTTATCCAAATATACATTATGTTCTTTGATGCTTCATTTAACTGTACTTACTGATGTAGAACCCTAAAATGAATTTTCTAATTAAGAAGATGCTTTTGAAAAGTAATTGAAGCATTTTGGTTTTTCTTTTTTCAATGAAACCAACAAAGATAACTTATGATGGTGCTGAAAATTTATTAAAGTTAAGAACATGTTTGGATTTAAAAAAAAAAACTTTTTAGTAGAAGAAAATCTGAAGATTCTTTATGAATAATTTATTTATAGAATTTATTTCCTAATATTTCTTGTAAAATTTACATATAAAATAATTTTAGCTTTTGAAAAATATTATTTCATTTTATTCTCTTAACTCTTCCTATAATTATTTTACAAATTCACGTTGTTAATTAAATGGATTATTTTAATTTATGTTTTTACTTTCTAAAATGCACTAACTTTTGTTTTTTATTTCTCTAAATTATCTTATTTATGTTCGAGATTTTTTTAAACTATATTATATGTTGACATAAAATTTAAAATGAACCAAGAAATGAGGACTTAGATAATTGGTAATCAGTATGATAAGAATTTATTATTATCACATAATAATGTTATTATGACAGTAATAATAGTCATGATATTAATAATAGATAATAATAATAATAATAATTATAATGTTGATAATTATAAAAAAGAAAGATAATAACAATAATAATCATGAGATGATGTAATAATTGTAGTAATAATGATACTAGTAAAAGTAGTAATACTAATTATAGAAGTTGTAATGATTGTTTTGTTATCAAATAATGACATCACAATCCATAAAGCAGTAAGGACAATATCATAGTAATTGTGAAAATAATGTGACAAAGATCAAAATATAATGATGACAAAAAACAATGATGATAATAAATGGTCACACGCGGATGCAATTAATGATGTATAATTATAAAAATTTAAAAATAATTTAATTATTATATATATATATATATATATATTATAATTATAATATAATTATTATTATAATAAATATGATTTTTTTTCTCACAAATACTTATATATATATATATATATTTTTTTTCATTATTATTTTTTTGTTTTTTTACAACCTTTCATTTTTTTATTTTAATTTTAATCATTCAATTTTTTTTACTTTGGATTTTTACAATTTTTTTTCTTATTCTTTTATTGACATATTTTTTCTCGGTTGGATGTTAAATTTATAAGTTTTTTTCTCAAATTTTCATATTTTTCTTATTATTTTTTTATTATAACTACTATAACTTTGGATTTTTACAATTTTTTTTCTTATTCTTTTATTGACATATTTTTTCTCGGTTTGATGTTAAATTTATAAGTTTTTTTCTTAAATTTTCATATTTTTCTTATTATTTTTTTATTATAACTACTATAACATGTTATCTTACATATAATTTATTATCAATTAATTAATTATTTTAATATTTTATAATATGTAATTTCGATGTAAAGAAAAGAAATTAAGTTAAGTTTTAGAAATATTAAAAAATATATATATATATATATATATATATATATAATAAAATAAATTTTAACTTACTAAATTTAAATTCAATTAACAAATAATATAGTTAAGAAAAATATATAATAATTTTTTATCTTTATAATATGAAATAATATCATATGTATATTTAATCTCATATAAATATTTATTTTATGTTAATATTAAATATTTATGAATAATACATAATTTTTATAAATTTATTTGATGATTTGATTAGAAAGATGTGGGTATATTTGCTAAAAGGAAGGTATGAGGTGTTATATATCTTTAAGAAATTTAAGTTCATGGATGAGAAACAAAGTGGGAAATAGATTAAAATTTTAAGAACTAATGGTAGAGGTAAGTATACATAATTTGAATTCAATAAATTCTATGGGAACGAGGGATGATTACATAAAGTCACACTTCCCTACACACTCCAACACAACAGACAACTGAGAGAAGAAATAGAACTCTGTTGTATATGGTAAGATACATGTTGAAAAGTAAAATCCTAGGAAACTACCTATGGAGGAAAGTGGTCTCAACAACTGCATATGTGTTAAATATGTCTTCCTCTAAGAGACTAGAGGAAATAACACTCAAGGAAGCTTGGATTAATATCAAACCAGATGTCACTCACTTATGGTTCTATTTGTTATAAACATGTTTCTGATCAATTAAGAAGAAAGTTAGATGACAAGGGTATTCCACTTATAATGATTGGTTATCACTCAACTGGAGGCTACAAACTATTTGGTCCAGAGACACGCCAGACATCAATCATTAGGAATGTAATATTTGATGAAATAGAAGCTGGAATTGCAAAACAACCTTAAAGAGTTAGCACAGTCCAAGATTATACTAGAAGAAGGGTCCTTACCTATATGTAAGTAAACTTTGATAATCAAACCTCAAGATGATTCTCCAAAATAACTCAGTTGTCGTCTTATTAAGAGGTTATGAATTGTTCTAGGAGTTAACATTTATCTCAAAAGGACATTTGGTGTACTTTGCACTTATTGCTAAATCTGAGCTTATTGAATTTAAGAAGGCAATCACTGATATGAAATAGTTAAAAAGAGGAGATTGACTCCATTGAGAAAAATCATACATGAAAATTGGCAGAACCACCTTAGAATAAAAAAACTTATAGCATTAAAGTACACCTACAAAGTGAAAGTAAATTCAAAAGGTGAAATTGTGAGACACAAGGCTAGACTTGTGACAAAAGGGTTTATATAGAAAACAGGAATTGATTATGGTGAGGTATAAGTACCAGTGGCCAGAATTGAGACAATTTGATTTATAATATCACTTGTAACAAATGTCAATTGGTCCATGCATCAACTTGATATTAACTCTACCTTCCTCAATGGCCACCTTGAAGAGGAAGTGTATGTACAGTAGCCACAAGGTTTGAGTTTAAAGACCAAAAACACAAAGTGTATAAACTCAAGATGGACTTGTATAGGCTCAATCAAGCTCCAAGAGTTTGGAATTGAAAAATTGATAGTTTTCTAAGTCAAATTGGTTTTGAAAAATACATCTCTGACACATGGAGTTTATGTGAAATATTTGCATAGGAATGTGAAGACAGAAAAGGTAATTGTATGTCTATATGTCAATGACCTTTCAATCACAAGAAGCAATGAAGAATTAATAGCTCAATTCAAGTCTCTAATGTTAAATAAATTTGAAATGAGTGATCTAGGGAAGTTGAGCTACTTAATAGGAATTGAGTTTAAATGATATTATATGGTACTATCATGCATCAGTTCAAGTATATACTAGATTTGCTAGCAGATTCAACATGCAACAGAGCAATTCAACAAGCACACCAGTTGA